ACAAACCAGGAGTCAACCCAGAACAAACACAAAACATATTATCGACAGGCTGCCACAAGCTGCTGTGTTGCAGCTGCCAGTTGTGAGCTTGAGATGGCCATGCTGCAATTCAGTTCTGAAGCTTCAGAGGTATCCGGCGCATGTACTAACCTTGTGCTTCTTGGGATCCAACTCAGCCCAAATTAAGAGCTGTCCTTGTGAACCATGCTGAAGAGGCTCAAGCCGTTGTGCTTTCTCACAGAGGTGCACCTGTTAAACCCCTGGAAAAATGAAAATAACATATTTCCAGCAGTGATAGATTCCCTTTAAAACCAACAGGGAAAAACAACAAATTGTCTTGACCAAATGTAACTGTTGTCACAAAAATAAGCCAAAAGGGGGTCAGGCCTCTTCAGCACCTTGAAGTAGTGAAAGGTCCTGATTGGCATCTGGACAGCGAGGGCTGCCGGGCTACAGGAGTGAGGGGGCATAGGGGGTGCGAATCCAAGGAAGCTGGTGCTGGGGAACAAGCACAAGCTATCTCCAAAGATCTTCGGGTGACTAATGTTGACCCAGGATTAATGAACCCGTCCCACTTTTAGGGGGATGTTCCCTCCAAAAGTGATTAATCCCCACTCAAAGGGGACACCCCCTAGTAATCAACCAGGGGTTTATTCATCCGGGGTTAACATTCTGGTGACTGATGGACATAAAATGGGTGTAAAGCCCTCAAGCTTTCCCCGACCTGGGAAGACTCTGACTTGGATCTGTCGTTTGGGAAGGTGTGAGATACTAGGTCCTCCAGTAGAGAGGTTAGAATAAGGGTACCCTGCAAGCAAAGTTTATGGCATTCACGTCAGCTGGAGCATGAAACACGGCACGGACTCGCGGACATCAAGTCCTCAAGTTTAGTTCGAGAAGCGCGCTCACAAGCCCAAGACAGTCCTCTTGGGGTGCTTGTGCCGGAACTGGAGCCAAACCTGTGCAAAAACGTGGGAGGTTGTAGCGCTGTAGAAGGCAGGGTTTGCTCTCTTGAACGCAAGAGTGAAAAAACCAACCAGGTTGGGGCTCCCCTATGAGACGACGAATGCATGTGAATCTCTTCAAACAGAAGCAACGCCAGGGCAATGGTGGTGGTCCCAGCAGCGGCTTTCCACCACCAACAAAAGAACGCAACGTGGTGAAACGCACAAACTATGCATCCATTTTGGCAGGGCGTGGAACAAACAGTGACAAAGCTGAACGGCTAACAAAGCGTCGAGGTTGTTGAACACTGGTGCGCCCTACTCCCTAATACAACTGGTGCAGGATCTTGTCCATTCGCATATTTGTTTGCTTCTGCCTACCAATTCAAATATAAGGAAGACACCAAACTCAGTTGTTCAGTGACCCTGGAAAAAGGGACCCCTTTGTTGGGAAGACCATTTTTAGTGGGGCAGCCACCAAAAAAAAGGGGAAAAAGGGTGCCGCTGAACAACTGAGCAAAGAAGCTGGTGAGATGGTGCACTGGGCGCTTTTACCAAGCCCAGGTCTCTGGTTGGCCAGCCTCGTTTGAGACACCCGGAAGCCCTTTCTTCGGTGCCTGAACTCCAGCGACCCAAAGGGAAACCTCCCAGGGGTGTGGAACATGATCCTTTCTACCCGGGTTGCGGAAAATAACCTCCGTTTGCTTAAGCCCTCCTAGGAAAGATAAACATGTTTCCAGTAGTGATAGATGACCTTTAAAACCAACAGGGGAAAATAAAACGTATTCTTAAGCAAATGGAAGCTAGAAGCCTTTCTGAGACCCAGCGGGCTATCCACATGAGCTATGTAGTTGATCACTTGAAAACGTGCCCCCTTTGGAACGGACAGTTGCTCTAAGACCCCATTCTCCACCCAAACATGGTCTTCCATTGAATTTCCTTCGTTTTCCCTCGGTTTTCCGTGTCAAAAGCACTGTAAAACCAGGGCCCACAGGGCGTCACTCTCTTTTCCCTCTGGTTTCGGTTTTCCCTTTGGTTTCGGTTTTACCTTTCGTTTCCCTATGGTTTCCCTTTGGTTTCCCACCCAACTCCCGACCCCACCTCCAGCACCTCATCCGCTGTGGTGGCCGCGGCCAGGCCCTGAAGGCCGGGGAACTGGGACCCAACTGGTGGCACTGGGCTTCCTTTCGAGCCAAGGGTACAGACACACCTACATGGCTGTGGCTCAAAAAACCGGAATTCCAAAATGGGTTGCCCTGGTAAGTGGAAACCTGCGTAACCCCCCCTGTTTAATTTTGAGCCACACCTACATACTTACTTACACACACAACCCCTTGGTATCTTAGAGTTCGGGAGACGAAATTGGCACGTTGGCCGAATTTCCTGAAGCTTCCACAGATCCATAAGAGCTTCATGCAAAACAGGGTTCACCTGCCAGTCAACTCCCTCCTTTCAAGCCAAGGTACCTGCCCACCAATTAGCCTGGAACCGGACCGTCGGGGCTCCCTTTAAAAGGACACCGGTCTGATTCCCCTGCACGACCCACGGAATGCACACAAGACACCCATACTTCCCCACAACTCCTACAATGCCGTCCCCCAACTTCAGGTTCACGAGTCTGTTTTCTGCTGTCTTGTGTGTTTTCTTTGGAGGGGGGGGGGGAAGCACATCTTGGATTCCATGTGCGGGGGAATTATGTCTGCAGCACCCACATCCAGAACATGAACCACACACTCGTTTTAAGAGGACGTGTTGCGCTTGAGTTCTCCTTCATGCACTCCTAAAAAAAACATGCAGGCAGACATGACCAACTGGCCGTGCTTTCAAACTCAAACATTCAGAGCTGAAACCAGTTTCGCAAACATGTTTGCACAGCACACCAACACAGCAGCGATTGGTCGCACAGGAAGTTGAAGGTTTTACCCCTCTTGCAACAGCATGCGAATCAAAGACACGCGACATTCCTGAAGAAGAGATGCTCGGTGTTCTTTTGGCTTCCCTTAAAACCCAACCAAAAGGGTGTACCTTCAAACAGACCCAAGTCAGCAAGCCTCGCGCACGGCTTCCCATGGCCAAAAGAAGAACCGTCCACTCCGTCCGAACCGCCCGAGACGATTGATAAACACAACTGAAATCAGCACCGCTGAAAACCTCCAGGACAAACACAGAACATGTGTTGAACCCAAACAATTCGACCCTTAAACAAAGGGAACGTCAAGACGACCATTTGCGGACACAAACAACAACTCGCGCACTGAATCACATACTTTGATTTAAAACCTAGCCTTAGTTAGCGGTTTGTGGCACCTGGAAAAAACAACATGTTCAACCCCGCAACACTACATCTAATGGAAACTCAAATCCATCAATACTAAATGAAATGGAAACTCAAATCCAGCAATGCTAACTCAAATGAAACTCTTCAGAAAGAAAGGGCACCATTTGTTGGTGGTCACTTTAAACGGGCTGACTCCTCCAAACAATACAGCAGCATCATTATAAAGACAGAGTTCAACAAGTCTGTATATTGTCATGCCTGTGAACATGATACAACGTCATAATTTCTATACGGGACTGGCAAGCGACAAACCCATCGGAATCTGCACACAAAGCTCAAACGATGCGCAAGGGCCTTGGGCAAGCCCGAAGATGCAGGAAACAAACCTCAAACAGTTGAAACTAAGTAAAGGCCCTGAAATGGAGAAAGTGCTGTTGCCAGTAGACCGAGAGATGCCTGCCGCGAGAGCGCGAACTACAAACAAAACCTTGAACGCTAAACCAAATCCAACACCTTGAGCCCTGAACCCAAACCCCCAAAACAAAACTCTAAGCCCTGAGCAGTGTTGACCCCAAACCTCAAACACCAAATAGTGGTGTTGACCCATGGGGTGTGAAGGCAACCCCTGGGCACTGGCATAAATGAAAAAGGATCCATTACTCACTTCCTGAGTGGATTGGCTAGAAAAAGCTTTAAACAAAAAAATGTTTGCCGTTCAAATAGTCCGAACCCAACAATTGACTAAAGTCCATGAACCTAGGAAGTGACAACATATTTGTTGAACAACGCTCGGTTTCGCATAATTTTTAGCATGGGGCAAAACCACACCACCAGGGACCACAGGATTTTTTAGTCCTTGTTTCCATTTACCAGCGGGTTCCATTTTGGGTACACTCCCACAAACTAACATGGAACCTGATTCTCGGGGGTCCTGATTTAGACCATTTTCCTTTTAAAGGGATCCCCCATTGCAGGGAGGGTAGTAAGTGGTTAGTAAGCCTGGCTACCGAAGCCATGGTTACAAGTCGCCGTTCAGTGGGACTTATAACCAGGCTTACAAGCACCACTTACCTAAGGTACCTATTTTTAGTGTACCCAACATGGAACCAGGTGGTACAATGGAAATAAGAAGTACAACCTGCGGCCCCTGGTCTAGGTCCTCCAACAGAGGGCTTCGAATAAGGCTACCTTTTTTGTGTGTAGTCTATTTTAATAAAAGAACCCTCCCCCAAGAAAGGGGAGAGAAGGGCACTAAGGGGCCCGGGGGGACCTAGTGGCTGAATTTGGACCACCCAACGACCTGGATCGCCAGTTGCTGCTTTTTGTCCATGCACTTTACTCCAAAAACCGATCGCAACAGTGACTCCAAAAAGCCGCAACTTGGACCACCCAACGACTCACGTTGGAGCTCGTTCTCCAACGCGTTTTCGACGACTCGCGCCTTGGGCAGGCGCCAGTTCCAGGAGTGGGCGTGCTTCCCCTGGGTGTAGGTGGCGTAGGGCGTGGGGATCCACCTTGCGCCCGGTTTGATTTGGCCGCGCTTGGTTGCTGATGGAGCCTCAAACTACCCCTGACAAGGATACAACCACCTATTTTTCAGGCAATCGCACATAACTTTGAGCAATAACATACGTTTAAGGGTAGTTTGACCAGAGATTGAATTCATTCATCGTTGATCCCTTTGGCGGACATCATTTATCCCCTGGCACAAAACAGATCCGCTAGTAGAGGCCTGAAAGGAAGGTTGGGCCCGTTTTGCCTAGGTTACAACCCGCCACCTTTAGCAAACAGCCAACTTCAGTGGGGGTGGTCGCCCGTGCGGAGGATTCGTGCAACCCAACAAAGTTGAGTGGGAATAACTTCACCGGCACAAGAGGAAAGGCAGTCCAAGAATGATTGTCTTGGAGTGTCAAAAGGGGTCCTTGTTTGGTTTCTCCCCGGAAGCTGGGGGCAAACGACGGCAAACGACGGGGCCCAAAAGGGCTCATCTTTTTGACAAGGCCATGGACGTAGCATCATTCCTTGAGCCAAAGCCCTTGACGCACTCCAACTTCGCCAGGGGCAAAGCAAATTCGCACAAACAGAATTTTCCTGGACCCTCAAACTACCCTAAAATGAGTGATTTTCCACAAATTATGAGGTAGATTCCCTTTTTGACGAGTACTTTGAGGGTCCATCACCATTCCTTTGTTGGTTTTCCTTCGGCATGCCCACTCTGCCGACATGATCTGCCTGAGTTCCATCGGTAGAACGGTGGTTAGAACCCTGTTTGGAGTTGACCATTTAGTGGGCAACTCCCCCAACAGCAAGGGAGTTGGAGGATCCAGTGAACAATTGGAGCATTCATCTGTTGGCCAAAGAGCTGGACCGAAAATTGGGGATTGGGGGAACCTGAACCACATTGCCACTCATAGGCAGTCCACACTAGGATGGTACGGCTATCCCTGATCTGGCATAGGTGAACAGCTGGCAGAGCAAAACCAAAACCGACAGGGGACCAGTCAACAGACCACAACCCAGGAACCCAGGGCTGGGTTCTCAAAGTTAAGGACGGAGTCCATAGTTTTGAGAAACATCCAACTAGTCAGAAGACAGCTTGATATAGTACGTGCTGCAACAGGGTCCGAAAGAATTGCTTATAAGAACCAGGCTAAGACAATACGCAGGGCGTCGGAACCGTGGAATGAGGGCTCGGGGCGGTGAATTGACGTAGTGGTCCGGCGCCGTGACGTAGTGGTCCCGTGCCAGAACGGAAAGATGGAAGTGTGTAGCTTTGGCTTGCGCCCCAGAACGGAAAGGCCCAGTTCCGTGACATAGGTCGCCGCGGCACAGGAACTCCCCAATCAAGCGGTCGTGGCGCCAGGCCAGCTTGAAAGCACTTGGGAGCCTGGCAGTTTGCCTGCTTTTGTGGGGACCTCCAAAGTCTTCCCCAAACCAACAGTAGATCAGATATCAGTTGCTCATAGTGAGTGAAGAACCGCCGTCTCCTCATGAAACCCGCACCTCGCGCCGTGCCCGTCTGTGGAACCCCCACCTCTGGCGATTCTCCAGGGCGCGAGGCGCCATATAGCCTGGGAGATGCCGCCAGGAGTGCTTCCCGAAACCCTTGCCAGGGCAGGGCAGTTCTTTCTTGGGAAAAACCAACCAGAGGGAACCTAACTAGGCCCTCCAGTAGAGAGGGTAGAATACAGGTACCCTTTTTTTCTGTAGTCTATTTTCGTAGGGGAACCCTCCCAAAAAGGGTAGAAGGGCACATGCAGCTACCCAGCGGTAAAAGAAGGCAGGATATTGGCGGAGGAGGCCATGCTCAAAGCAAAGTCTGGTTTGAAAAGGTGTACTAGACCAATATCTCGCTGAGGGGAAGCTCCCCCGGATTAGGAGCCTTCTTAGGGAGTCTTAGCGGTTCGAGAGCTTGCCCGGTGGATTGGGGGGTGCGATTTTGAAAGGAGCGACCAGCCAGGGGAATAGTCCAACTTCTTGGTGAACTTGCAACATGACCAAAACTAGAGGGCCCTTTCAACTGGTTTCTTTCATTTCATGCTTTGCCTGGGAGCCTATGGGAACTACACTCTTGCGATGAAGCCAGGGGGAGTGGGATGATAGCATAACTGCCGTCTGCGGCAAAAGCTTGCGCAAACCGCAATACATCCTCAAACCTCCCTAAAGCTTTTGGATGACTTCCCGCTGCTTTCAAATCTCGTCCACCTGAGCATGGGCCCGGGCCTCTCACAGAGCCTGACTCAAAGCCGGCTTCCACTACCCCCAAACCCACCCGAGGGAAGCTGGGCCATATGCTCCATCTGCAACTTTTACCAATATGTCCAAAACCTGAGCCCGTTTTACCTCCAGGTGAGCTCGCCAGAAACTATGCAAGTCCATATCCTCCGTACAATGGTTACGTACCCCGCTTTCCCCTATGGTGGCTGGGGGGAGGGAGGGGAGGCGGAGGGAGCCCAAATAAGCCCTAAACAAGGCCTTAATAAGGGCTTAGCAAGGGCTTTTTTGGGCTCCCTTCCCCTCCCCTCCCTCCACCCCAGCCCCTATGAAGCCTTAGCTTCTGTGCTCTGGGGGGAACCCATCTGACAAGCAGCGCTCCAGATACTTCCGCCAGTTGGCCTTGCCCACCAGCTTGTGAAACCGATAAAAGTACCTCAGCTCGCTCGCGCACTTAAGCTTTCAACAGGGGGGTCATCCCCTGATTTCAGGGGTTGGTGGACATAAAACAAAAAACACACGCTGCAAATCATGTCCACCAAAGTGTCCCCAATCAACATTACAACTGGTCACGTGATGGTCTATTGCAAAAGTAACAAGGGCACCTTAGGTAAGAGGCAGTGTGCCAGACCCTTTCAACCAATGGTTCATGCCTCGATTCAAGCTGGAGCACAACTGTATGCTCGACAATGGAGCACAACTGTGTATACTGCATCCTGCCCAGGAAAGAGGTGGTGATCTTTTGGGACAAGCGTTCTTTGGGGTTGGAAAAGAAGAACAGGAAACATAAGAGGAGGACGACGAAGAAAGATCTGGGGGTGATTCCCCATTATTTTCCTGCATCGTTCTTTTCCAAAACCAAGCGTTTTCCCTGGGTTTCTGGAGGTTTCTAGAAAGATGGATCCCTGGAAAGAATGGGGAAGGTACCCCTAGAAAAGAGCAGTCAAACACACGCGAACAGACAACTAAAGACAAAGCACAGCGACAGCTGGAAGCTTTGCCTCACGCACCCCCTTTCGAGACAGTAGTTTCAACTAGCCGAAGGAACGAAAAGGAGAACAAACAGGCAAACACCATGCTGAAAACACAAAACAACCTTGTTCTCTTGTGTTTTTTTAAGAGAAAACAACACCCCGCCCGCCCCTTCCTCGCGCCAAAAATTGGTCCCACTCCTCCGTCGCGTCTCTTGGTCTCCCCGCGTGCCCTTGCGGCTGGACGCCCCGAACTTGTGGTGCTCCCGGCGTCCGGGGCGCCCGTCCTTCGGCCCGAAGCGCACCTGAAGCGAAACGAAAGCGACCGAGTCAGAGGTGGCCATGGGTAAAAACCGTTTTGGGATCTTTTGGTTGATAGGTGAATTCATCACTCATTTTAGGCTTCTTATTTTAGTGGTTGGATTGGGATGTTCACTGGGGGTACGGGGTTTTGACCCTTGGCCAGGTCGCCAAAAGCTACCCTCCCACCCAGGGACCACAGGTTGTACTCAGCTGGTTCCATTTTGGGTACACTAAAAAGGTAGCTCAGGTAAGTGGTGATCGTAATCTTGGTTATAACTCCCACTGAACGGAGCCCCCGAGGGTCAGGTTCCATGTGGTGGCATCTGACATTTGTGGGCCTTCAAGAGGAAATTGATCTTCCAGGTTCCCTCCGGATGCTATCTTAGTGGGAGGGAGGGTACGTTGTGACTTTCAGGAAAACCCAAAGTCTGGTGACACCACCCACCACCCCCACCACCCCCACCACCCCCACCACCCCCACCACCCCCACCACCCCCACCACCCCCACCACCCCCACCACCCCCACCACCCCCACCACCCCCACCACCCCCACCACCCCCACCACCCCCACCACCCCCACCACCCCCACCACCCCCCCCACCCCCACCCCCACCACCCCCACCACCCCCACCACCCCCACCACCCCCACCACCCCCACCCCCACCACCCCCACCACCCCCACCACCCCCACCACCCCCAAACCCCCACCACCCCCCCAACCACCCCCACCACCCCCCACCCCCAACACCCCCACCACGTTCAAAGCTTGAGACGGTCGAACTGTGTCTCTTCTGAGGTGGGCCCAATGAGTCGCAGCGTGGCTTTTGCGTTGCGGTGACCAGGCACGGGACCGTTTCTGCACCAATCTGCGCGGAACCCAATGGGCCACTGTTGGGAAAATCGCCTGGGTTTTCCACGCCGCCGCTTGGCAGGAGGATTCAATTGGTCCAAAAATCAAGGGCTGTGCACCCCAACCATCAAATAGTCAGGTCTTGTTGGACCATCTTTGGAGGGGAACTTGTGGGTCCAGCACGTCCGCCCAGTCGTGTCCTGGGGGCAACCCACATGATGGAAATGTCCGCTGGAGACATGACCACCCCCCCCAAAAAAATAAAAGGCGCAACTCCTGAAATGACACCCCCCCCCAAAGGAGGCAACCCGCTCGGGGTTGATTTGAGTCGGGGATGCCCGATTTTTCAGCCTCGCGCCTGCAAGCAGAATGGTCCAGCCAACCTCGGGTGGGCAGCTCAAAATGGGGAAGGGCGGCGAAATCTTCGGGGCCATCCGAACTCCCGTGGCAATGGATCCCCCCCCAAAAAAGAGAGAGCAAGTCACGCTTCTCAAAATCCCCTAAAGTCAACATGGCCATGCAAACCTACGTATCAAACGCTTCGGCGCAATGTTCTCTGTGTGTGTGTGTGTGGCTTGAGGGTTCCTTTTTTGGCGTTGATTTGACATATGTACCATCAAAAGGAAAACCACCCTTGGTGTTCTTTGGTCTGCTTGTCTTCTTTTTGAGAGGGAGAGTATCCTTATTTTGACACAGACCCACATGAACCCCTTAGACCTTTGGGCCAGGTTTTTCTCCGTGGGCTGGCAGGCCCTTGCGCTTTTCGAAGCGGTTTTAACTGAAGACACAACGGTTTTGGGCTGATTCCCACACGCCTTGTCTTTATGGAGGTTGGTCCAAAGATCCTTTACATGGGATACGCATTGGGGGAAATCAAGAAAAATGTGATATGTCCCAATCAAGGAATATTGATCAACCCTCCATATGCCAACTGACCCATGAGGCATGAGGGCGAATGTGGGCAAGCTATGTTGCATATATATATATATATGGGCGTGTTTGGGATTGAAACCCGCTACGCGCATCCGCACTCACCCAAAACCCATTCAATAAACCCTGACAGTCTGGGCATGCTATGATTCCCAAGTCAGAATTAACGGGACACAAAATGGTTGCGTAAGAGCGCCATATTTTGCGTGTCGTGAAGGTGCACTTGTGTGTGAACGCTTGACCGAACTTAGCTTTGCTGAAACGATCCTAGATCGTGGCCTCTCATTTCGGCACATGATCAGTGCTAAAAACTCAACATCCATTGACTTTTGGTTCTACTGATACGGCTGCAAAGGATTGTAGACGCCTTCCTATAACCCTATTGAAACCAGTTTGTAGAAACATCCACGAACATGGCCAATCCGGGTTTTGGGCGCTGCTCACATGTGGGTGTTTTCTGGCCCGCTCGCCCGACGCAGAGAGGGCCAACTTTTTTTCTCCCGTACACATCGCGGCCTCGCAGGTGCACTCGGATAGAAACGGAGTGGAGAAATCACGGGAACGGAGTGACCCGAAACCGGCAAAGCGTTTGGTAGAGACGAGACATGGCTGTGGGTCAAAAATGGGTACCCCAAATGGAACCCTGATAAATGGAACCAAAGACTTAAACCATGCGGTCCCCTGTGGTTTTATTTTGACCCATACCCACATGGATTGTTCCGCCTTGCCAGCTCTGGATGCTCCTACCAGCCCTTGACTGGAAAGCGCTTGAAGGCCTACCGGGCTCAACGGTGACACATTCCAGCCCAAAACGGCCGGCCTGAGGCGTTAGGGCGAACCTTTGAAAGGCTCCGAAGGACCATACTAGTCAGAGGGGTCCGTCACGTTGATCATTTCCCTTCAGGCGATCCCTCCGGAAAAGAAAAAGGTACGCTTCTCCAAACTCATCCCAAGTTCACGTGGGAGCTTCTCAAAACAGGGGGACCCCCTTGATTTCTTGCTTTTGCGAAGCACAGGCCAGCCGTGAAGCCATGAGGTCCCCCAACTTTGAGAAGCTGCCCACTTAAAAATCACTGCCCTCGCCCCGGCCAGCAACTCGGGAGAAACGCTGGCCACTGGCCATGGAACTCACTCACCGCTACGCCTTACGCATAGCCCGGGTCGCTTGCGTTGAACCCTAGACCTGGTGAAACGCAAACCAGAGATCTTGGAGTTCCAGCTTGACCTATGGAAACTGACTAGTCCCTTTAAGAGGAAACTCGTCTTTCAGATGCCTTCTCACCCATGTGCCTGCAAGTGAACATGCTCCTTTGTGGGCGACATCTCGATGGAAGCACCGGTACCTTGGTGATGATTGAAAGTTCAGTGCTTGTTTTCCGGGTGAGCTCTCTTGATAAAGCTGGACTCCATGATTGAGAATACTGGCGCTACGTAGTTGTGCAGATGAAACGTAGTCTTCCTTCTGAAGAGCTGTACACCCTTTTGAAACAGAACTTTCCTCACTCATCGCTAGCCGTCATCCTTGCCGGGTGTCAAAGCCATGCGTTGAATTTACACAGTCCAAACACAGAAAGCAGAGTATTTGGAGGCTCTCATGAGGCTGACTCCTTCACCCCGTTCTGACAAGTTGCCAACTGGCACGCGGAGCAAAGTACAATATGAATCTGAGCTGTCCTCAGATCCCGCGCTAAAAGTTTAACTTTTAGCAGGACAAATGGAAACCCCCACTAAACACTAAAAAGCCAAAAAGCCGAGGGGATGGCTGGCAGCCAAGGAATGCGTAGTTTGGCCAAGTTGGATCAAAGAACTGGGTGCAAAACAGACCGTTTGGTTTTCTTCGGAGTTAACAATGGCTGGTCCAGCAGAAAATCGCAAAGGCCCAAAGCCGAGTCCCACACTACACTTATCCGAGGAGAAACAAACAAAACAACAAACACGATTCGCACTCATAGCGCTGTAAATCTTGATTGGTGGTTCATCCACCCTCATTCCTAACCCCAATTAAGCCAAACTCACGTTCAACTGCCCTGCCCCCAAAAGGTGATGTTTTGAATCAGCCAAAAGGGACATCTAGGGAGTCCCGGGTCCGACAGTCCTGTAGTATACCAGGTTCTCGCTCACACTGCGCTCAGCGGCCTGTGGGGCAAAAAGCGGAACCGTGCCAAGCCAATTCTCCATGACGCTCTCAGGAGCCTTGAAGGGCCCTACCAGGCATTTAAGTCAGCCGTCTGGGCCGTTGGTTTACCACCACCATGGTCTTCCAAAAAAAAAACACTCGAGCCCAGGAACTCAAAAGGCCCAGAAACGTCCAACAGGGATACAGCCACGAAATCTGTCGCACGATACGCATAGAAGTCTAGTCCAAGGGGCTAAATGGCCAGGGGCCATAATGGCTCCACGTTGGGATGGCTGAGAACCGCCCAAGACTTATTTACAATGTTTTGGGTGATTCGGGCCGTTTGACGCACCGCCCGCCTGGAGCCAGCGTGCCAAGGGGCGCCAGGGTCCCAAGGTGTCCACTCGACGGTGCCTTCGAGGGTGGGTGGGTGGGTGGGTGGTGTGGTGTGGTATGGGGTGGCGTGGTTTGGTGTGGTTTGGTATGGGGTGGGGTGGTTTGGTGTGGTGTGGGGTGGGGTGGGGTGGGGTGGGGTGTGCCACGCTCAAACGCCGACCTGAGTTGACGACGCGTGTTGGCCCTTGACTAACAAAATGACCTGCAAACAAACACGGCAATAATGGGAACGTGTCAAAACTAAACGTATTCTGAACGTGGGACTGGTTTCAGAGAAACTGTGCATGATATAAGACTAGTTGGCGGGCATGTTTTTTCTTTTTTAGAGAAAAAAACGATGTCCAACAACAGGTCCCACATTTAAGCTTTTACCCAAGACAAAGCGCCCTCTGATGAACAACATGTGAATAATCTTAAATGGAACTCGTTTTGATGGAGTGTTGGCCGATGCATCTGATTTGCCATCATCCCTATCGAAAAACCACCAAGGGGAATGATGCACAGGAATTCGGGACAGCCACATTTCCAGGTCTGGTTTCCCTGGGTAAGGGAAACCAACCACAGTTGGAGGATGCACTCGAAGTTACACTTCAAATAAGTGTTCCTTGTGGTTGCGCCAAACTACGGTGTTTTCTTCCAAAATTCACCCGCTCGTTGCCAACCATTGTTGCCTCACATCAATTGAAGGGCCGAAAGCCGAAAGGAATGAACACCTCACACAGCAGCTGCCTTTTTCAGGCGGCTCCATGTGCCGTGCCATGGTCAAACCTCCGTGGCAATGGTCTTGCTGCCCATTAAGGAGGGACCCTTGCGATGGTGAAAACTCCCCACGAATTTGACCATGTAGCCTCCTGGAAGCTTTCCGGATAGATCAGCTTACATTTGAAGGTCGCTCTTTCAGGTGCGGTCCGTGAAAGGAAAGTTGTCAACTTCATTGCAACTGGCGGAGCCTGATTTGGGGCCCACAAAGCCAAGATAAAAATGAAGGGCAAATCAACTGGTGTGACAGCAACTTTATGTGAATGCTACGCATCCCAAATCCCAGATCGATGTGCCTGCGCAACATCCAAGAGAAAACCGGACATTGTAGGAGCAAAAACAAATTGCAACCACCAAATCAGTAAAGGGAAGCCAAAGGGAACCCGAATTGCAACAAGACCCCTTGCCCTGGGAAAAGTCAAAACAAAAGGACTTTCAAAGTCTGCGATTCTGAGCGCTCTGAACAGGGTTTGCTGGGAAGAAAGAACTTGCGCTTTGACAAGCCGCTCAGGGACCAGATTCAAAGGGTTACACTAATAGATGCATCCTTTCTGGTCACTGTTTCTTTCCACAAGCAGAGAACAAAATCCCCTGCATGGTCGCTGTGCTTCATTGCTAAGCAATGGCCAGAAACCCATCTCCACTTGTGTCGGTTGACCGAAACCCATGAAGGTGTCCCTGGACAAGGTGCTTTTGTTCCTCCCCCCGGTTCAACAAACAAACAACAGCAGCGACAGCTGGGTCTCAGCCAATGCACATGTTTTTCGCTTTGGGCATGTTCAGGGGCTCCGGGGCTGGGGATACTTGGGCTTAGAAAAGAACATTGTTGAAGAACAATCCACCACTGAAGCACACAACCACTCAAACACTCGAGCAATCAAGCAACTGGCTGCAAACTGGTAGGTCAGAACTGGGAAGCCAAAGGTGAGTTGGTCACCATGAGAGGATTCTGTAGGTTTCCAACATCGATTTCTACCGTGCAGCTGAAGGCGTGGCTATGTTTTGAGGGTGCCAAAGGCTACAAGGCTGAAGGGAAACCAAAAGGAAACCGCCTGGAGGGCTCCGGAATTAATTCAGAAGCACCCTGTTGAAACTTTGGGCTTGGTTTTGGAAGGCTTTTGGATGAGGCTCACCCATAATTACCCTGCCTGCTTTTGCCATTTGCGTTGGTTTTGGAAGGACTTTGGAGGGGGCAAACCCCAGCCCCCCACTTTGACACTGCCTGTTGTTCTGCCGCTCGCGGAGGATCTCTGCGCGCAGCTCGCGCTCCGCCTGAGCAAGGCTTAGGCGGCGGATGGCACAGGTCCGGGTGTGTGAATCTTAATGGCAAACGGGTCACCAATACCTAGAGTCTCCATGACCCCTAGAAAAAGAAGTCATGACCCCCATTTTTAAAGGGTCATGGAGACTCCAGGTATGGGTATGTGGGTATGTTTTGTTTTTGGACATGATTTAGGTGGCGGTTCATGTCCAACCACTTTGGAGGCGGTTCCTTATGGAAACGGCGAGTTGCAACCAATGACCCATCCCATGAGGCACAATCAAAACCAGGTATTAAAATGGTCTACCCAGAACCACGTAAATTGAAAAGGCGGATATCCCTTATTTTATTGTGACCCAAACGGTGCCTTTTCCCTCTGGTTTCGCTTCAAAACGGGAAACCTCGAAAAAGACACATCCCAGACCTCTAGTCATGGGGCTGTTCAAGTAGGCCCTACCGCTTTGGGACACATCTATAT